GCTTGGCCGAGAGAAGACTGTTAATAGAGTTTGTGGTATTTTGGGTAACAGACAAGACTTCCTGTTAACAGGTTTTGGGTATTAGACTACTTTGCTGACGGGTTGTTCTGTTACCAGACAAAACGGATATTTTCTGACGGGATCTGGCATCCGGGGCTGAATCTTAAAGGGGTCATATGATGCTTTTTTTAAAGATCATTATTTGGTGTATTTGGTGTAACAGAATATGTTGACATGCTTTAATGTTCAAAAAACACATTATTTTTCAAATACTGTACATTATTGTAGGTCCTCTATGCCCCGACTTTAGTCTTTGCAACTTCAGGGATCTTATCTATGCACAATCAGCTTGTAACACTCCAAAGAGAAAGGAAAACTTGAAATCGCATCATATGACCCCTTTAATTATCTGGCGTGGAGGTATGATCTAAGACATTGCTGAGCAAGTTACATGCTACATTTCTCCAAACCTGTTCCCATGAAGAAACAAACTCATCTACATCTTGGATGGCCAAAGGCTGAGTAAATATTCAAGAAAATGCTCAATTTTTGAGCCAACTATTCCTTTTAAGGTCTTTAGGGCACTTTTATGCATTATTACGAAATATTATATAGAATACTTTAGTGTTTGAATGAGGTTCTTGATGAATTAAACAAATTGACTGAACAATGTAAAACTAGTGACAGTTTGATTGTATATTATAGTGTTATTCACTTGTTATTTAGGTATTACAAATCAATGTGTGCACTATATTATATATTTATTTATTTGTCGTTGAGGTAAATTAACTGAAAAATTACAAAAGATATTGGGGAAACGTTGTGTTAGAAGCAATGTAGTGACAATAAATTGAGCTAAGTTGTATATGTTTACCAAATTAATTCCATGAATGTAGCATACACTTCAACACAAAATGTTTTAAGACACCTAGAAAACAATAGAACAGAAGAATACATTTAGCCAAGTGTGTCTAAATAGAAGACGTGTATAGGTTTCAAAACGTTTTGGCACGTTTAATGAAAACAGACTCATAAGTGGTAAGTTTACCTTGCTCCATTGTTTCCATTATGCTTTTCATTACTTTATTCTTGACGCGCGGATTTCTTATTTTTGCTCATTTGTTTCTTTGTAAATAGAACGTTTCGAAATCTGGCGCGCGGTTGTGTCAGACTCGACCTCGGAAGCTAAAACACAAACAGCGCTGCAACCGAGAAAACCCTTAAAGTGACTTTGCTGTAGCGCATCATCACTGCGCACTGTTTGCGCAGCCACGTAATCTAATCAGCGCTCAAGACTGCTCTATTTTCTCCCCACGTGGTTGCATTTTTTATTGTGCGCATATTATTATTATTATTTAGTATTAAATGTAATATTCAGACAATTATTTTAAAAAGCATGTGTAGAGAAATACAGCTGCATATGTGTGTGTTTGTAAACACGATAACTATCACTGATCAGCTTTAGATTGTAAACTGTAAGGTGCACACTGTGTTTTTACTGATAACGTGGCTCAGTAACCTTCAGGCGTAATGGCAACTGTAACACTGGGAGGAGTGCGACATTAGGGTTAGGGTTAAGTTTCTAACCCTAACCCTAACTGACATTCACTGTCTGGCCCCCGGATGACACACATGAAGTGTGTCTGATCTGATTGACTGCTTTAGGTAAGAACACCTGCATGTCCAGCAATCATGTAATGCACTGCACGCGCTTTCGATGATGAAAAACACTGTACACTGTATGAACGCTGAGAAACACACAGCATGCGTCCACCAACTAACCCACAATAACAAGGAAGTGAAATTGCACAGACAACTGGTATAGGGTTAGACGACTATCAGTTGACGACAACTAGGTAGACGAGTTAGCAAATGTGAATGTATTTAATGCTTTACATTAATTATTGTTCTGGGTCATGCATTTGGGGTAAAGTTAAAACCCCAATCCAGTGGCGTCTCTGCAAACTAGTCACAACTGCCAGGAACTGTTAACCCTCTAATGCCTCCTGGTTTAGCCTTCACCATCCCTGATTAACCCATTGTAGCCCTACAGAAAAATAGATGCTGATATCATGGTACTGTGATGATGCTGCTGAATGACTATATTCATATACCTCTTTAGAGCAAGTTAGGTCCTGAAAGTAAAAATTTAATTATTTCTCTCTATATATATAATTTAAAATCTAAGGTGGTATATACCTCCATAAAAGTTGTTAATCTTTGCCAAAAAAAAAAGAAGTCTTGATTGGTGCAATACAGCACAGATTTCAATCAGAGAAGGTACTGCAAATGTGGAATTAAAAATTTATAAATAATATATAAAATATAAATTATGTAATTTAAAATAAACAATTTAGAAATTATATATTACAAAATTATATATATTTAGAAATTATGTATGATTATATAGATATTTAATTTAAGACTTCTTTTTTTTTTTTTTTAAGTGTGTGGTTACATAGTCATTGTGCATTTAGGAACTTTTTCGTGATGTACATCCCAGTAAAAAGGATTATTGAAAAAGAAAAAATGTAGGATGGAGACGTTGTTCTTTGCATCAGTTGTTGATTGGATGTTGAGAAGTGGGCGTGGCACTGAAAAATGGAGGCAGATCTGAACACAATAGTATCCAGCTGCAGACCTGCAGCACCAGCAGTTTCAGAACCGCAGCCACCGAACCAGAAGTGAGGGGCGGAGCTTACGTTATTTAACAGAGTAGCGCCACCTTACGGTTTTAAAGGGGTAATTTGCTTTTATTACACACGATACGTCATACTTTATGTATGTATGCATTTTATAATGATATATTAAGCATTTTAAAAACATTAATCTTGTGCAATTTAGTTGTAATTTATTTATAGTTATTCGTTTCATTGAATTATGCGAGTTATTTCCTAATTGCTCTGCTTTGGTGCAACTAAGGTGTCAGCTCTCTGAATCCTTATATGTCTCTACAAGAGATGAAGCCACACACAATTATCTCAATGATGACAAATGGGATTAAAATAAACTATAAGGTAATATTAACACATAAACAAGGCATATAACAGAGGAAAGTAAAGCAAACTATTTATTTTTATGAATAATAAACATCTTCAAAACTTCACCGCAAGGCCCATTTACAACATGCATCCGAAAATTAATCGAAACATCCACAGAAAAAAGTTATATACTATAAAGTATGACAACAAATTCAAGCTTCAATATAAGATAATAAAGCCAAGCACACATTAAGTACTTAGTAGATAAATGTTCACCGTAATATATACGATAATTATTAAACATGATAGCAAAAACATTACAGACTACTCACCGTGCTCTCTCGTTGTCAATAACTCCGCCCCTCACTTCCGGTTCTGTGGCTGCGGTTCTGAAACTGCTGGTGCTGCGGGTCTGCAGCTGGATATATCTCGATCTGAATGCAAACTGGCAAGTTTTAAGAGGCGAAAAGAGGAGAGTTTTAAGCAAACTAAATGATTGGATAAATGAAACATATATATGGATAAAGTTGCATGCGCAAAATAAGGTGAATTTTCATTTCATACAAACTTTAAGCAGACTAAATGATTGGAGAAGTCCTACATACGTCACCAGAGATAAGCCTGACGTTTTCACTGGAAGATGAAGTTATGACATTTTGATTCAAAATGTCAAATTAAAGTATCAGTCATTCACAGTAAGATCTATAACATGCATTCGGAAAATAGATATAGGGTGAATTTTAATTTCAATGTGAACATACCTGCCTAACATGGAATCATAACCTGATTGACTAAGTGCATTATCTTATATCAGTTGTGACATGTTTCAGGTCGTCATCAGATTTGCAGATCAATGGCTTTGACCTTTGTCCTGATCACGCAGCGGAGACTCTAATATCACGCTTCATGCCTGCAGTCTCGATATGGATCCGCGGAGCACAAGTACTTCACTGTTATTGATTATGTGATATTTGTGTTGCTGTTGGTGGCCCCCATGGTCATCGGGCTGTACTACGCCTTCACCGGAGGACGCCAGAGCACCACGCGAGAGTTCATGTACGCAGACAGGAGTGCCGCTCTCTCTGTCTCTCGTGGCCACCTTCCAGTCGACCGTGGCCATCATTGGCACGCCGGCTGAGGTTTACAGTAATGGCACGCAGTACTGGTTTAACGGCTGCTCTTTTATTCTGGGTCTCCTGATACCAGCACACATTTTCATTCCTGTGTTCTACACACTACATCTCACCAGTGTTTACCAGGTACACATCCTTTTAAATTATGAAATAACACAGACACTCTTAAAAATAAAGGTTCTTTATTGGAATTCACCCAAAAATGAAAATATGCAGAAAATGTACTCACCCTCAGGTCATCCCAGATGAAGATGAGTTTGGAGAAATGTAGCATTCCATCACTTGCTCATCAATGGATCCTCTGCAGTGAATGGGTGCCGTCAGAATGAGAGTTCACTCCAAACAGCTGATAAAAACATCATAATAATCCACAAGTAACTCCAGTCCATCAGTTAACATCTTGTGAAGCAAAAAGTTGTGTGTTTGTAAGAAACAAATCCATGATTAAGATATTTTTTAACTTCTCTAAAATGCGAGTGCTCTATGCATAATATTACTTTCTCCATTTAAAAAGTCGTCTTGTCTGAATCAGGAGAGAAATACGAACAGATCAAGCACAAGTGACCACAGGTGAAAGCAGTCTAAAGCAGTTCTAAACACATATGTGGGTGGATTTTGATGTGAGAGGGCAACAGGGTTGGACTTTTTCACTGGAGGAAGCGTTACTATGGATAATGAACTTGTATTTTGCCCAACAGCGATGGTTTAAATTTAAAATGCCTTAAATAATGATGGATTTGTTTCTTACAAACACACAGCTTTTCACTTCACAACACATTATCTGATGGACTGGAGTGGTGTGGATTACTTGTGGATTATTGTGATGTTTTTATCAGCTGTTTGGACTCTCATTCCGATGGCACCCATTCACTGCAGAGGATCCACTGGTGAGCAAGTGATGTAAGGCTCTAAATCTGATGAAAAAACAAACTCATCTACATCTTGGATGGCCTGAGGATGAGTAAATATTTAGTTTTTATTTTATTATTATTATTATTATTTTTCAAAAGGTTTTGAAAAATGTGCACTACACCTTTAAGAATTGTTCACTGAAAGGTTCTTTGGGGAACAAAATGGTTCTTCTATATGGCATCGCTGCAACCTTTTTAGAACTTTTTGTTTTTGTAAGTGTAGCAACATCCTGGCAACTGAACTCAACACTGCAAGCGAGTTTAGCACCACTAAAGTTTTCATTTGTCATTGATGCCTTTATTAATCATGCTCATGTCTCATTCACCTCACAGTATGTGGAGCTGTGCTTCTGTAAAGCCGTCCGTGTTACGTCACTGTTACGTTTATTTTTCAGATGGTAAGTTCCTGCCTCTCTGTGTAGTGAAATAAAGTTTGCATTTTTGCATATTTAATGCATTGCATGGAGAGAGTTACTGTGTGGTTTCTTTTCGCAGGTCATTTATATGGGTGTTGGCATCTATACACCTGCTCTTGCATTGAATGCAGGTAATGTTACAAATATATATAGTCATAATTAACATATTAATGCATGAACATAAATATGACTGTCTGTTGTAAGTGATAACATATGTCTGTCTCTAGTTACTGGTTTTCATTTATGCGGAGCAGTATTGGTAATGATTTTGAGTTGTTTAAGGTTACTTATTTTACAGGTTACATGCATCTGGTCTTATTGTGCACAGTTCATCAGTGCATGATATCAAATGTTTGTCTTTGCAAACTTTCATCAGCTTGCTTTGCATCTTAAACATTTATTTTTGGATGACAACATTTGATGTTAACCATTAACCCTATAAAGCATACTGTATCATATTTGATATGCAAATTTGTAAGGCCTCTAAATGATCAACATGATCATATCTTTACTGAGAAACCTGTTGCACACAATCCACTACATACCTACTACAAAAAATAGATTTTTCAGGCTGTTATTTCCTATGTCAGATTTTACAGGTTTAAATATCCTTAGAAGTCGAACAGGCAATTTCATATTGATTGGTTGCTTTGTTTTCATTGTCTCAAAGAGGTAATTATTTTTGCATGTTGTTCCTCCTGGTAGGGTGGGCTGAAGGCAGTGGTCTGGACCGATGTTTTCCAGACAGTAGTGATGTTTACTGGTCAGCTGGCTGTCATCATTGTGGGTGTTCATCAGGCTGGTGGTCTCTCTGATGCCTGGGTGAAAGTCAGAGATGGTGGACGCATCTCCAGGATTGAGTATGTACTGTATGCTTTAAATGGTTTAAATGGCATAGAAGCTGGTAGGCAGCACATTTAACCACCAGGTGACTCCATGAATGCATCTATTAAATCAAGGGTTTTCAAATAGTTTGAAGCCAAGGACCCCCAAATATGATGATGATCCCTTTTTTGAGGTTAGGCAGCTGTTTATTTACATGTATAAAGTCTATTTATATTGAGAGAGAAAATATATAGGCAAAATGTCCACAATTAAATAGTTGTTGTTAGTTGGTTTTTCAAAATAAACATTGTTCCAAAGATAAACACTTTTTTTTTTAGAAACCATATGCAGATTTTTCTACTGTTAAAACTAGGACTGTCAATAGAATAAAACAAATTTGATGTTAATTTCATGATTTCCATCTTGATAAAGCTGAAAGTTGAATTAATATCAAAACTCAGAATTGTGAGATATAAAACTCAGAATTGTGAGATATAAACTCAGAATTGCGAGATATTAACTCAGAATTGCAAGATATTAACTCAGAATTAAGTCAGAATTGTGAAATACAAAGTTAGAGTTGTGAGATATAAAATCAGAATTGCAAGATATAAAGTCAAAATTGCTAGAATAATCTCAGAATTGTGAGATATAGAGTCAGAATTGTGACTAAATCAGAATTGCGAGACTGAAATTCTGAGAAGAAAAGCCTGAATTGCTAGAATAAACTCAGAATTCTGACAAAATCAGAATTGCGAGATATAAACTCAGAATTGCGAGATATAAACTCAGAATTGCGAGATATAAACTCAGAATTGCGAGATATAAACTCAGAATTGCGAGATATAAACTCAGAATTGCGAGATATTAACTCAGAATTGCAAGATATTAACTCAGAATTAAGTCAGAATTGTGAAATACAAAGTTAGAGTTGTGAGATATAAAATCAGAATTGCAAGATATAAAGTCAAAATTGCTAGAATAATCTCAGAATTGTGAGATATAGAGTCAGAATTGTGACTAAATCAGAATTGCGAGACTGAAATTCTGAGAAGAAAAGCCTGAATTGCTAGAATAAACTCAGAATTCTGACAAAATCAGAATTGCGAGATATAAACTCAGAATTGCGAGATATAAACTCAGAATTGCGAGATATAAACTCAGAATTGCGAGATATAAACTCAGAATTGCGAGATATAAACTCAGAATTGCGAGATATTAACTCAGAATTGCAAGATATTAACTCAGAATTAAGTCAGAATTGTGAAATACAAAGTTAGAGTTGTGAGATATAAAATCAGAATTGCAAGATATAAAGTCAAAATTGCTAGAATAATCTCAGAATTGTGAGATATAGAGTCAGAATTGTGACTAAATCAGAATTGCGAGACTGAAATTCTGAGAAGAAAAGCCTGAATTGCTAGAATAAACTCAGAATTCTGACAAAATCAGAATTGCGAGATATAAACTCAGAATTGCGAGATATAAACTCAGAATTGCGAGATATAAACTCAGAATTGCGAGATATAAACTCAGAATTGCGAGATATAAACTCAGAATTGCGAGATATTAACTCAGAATTGCAAGATATTAACTCAGAATTAAGTCAGAATTGTGAAATACAAAGTTAGAGTTGTGAGATATAAAATCAGAATTGCAAGATATAAAGTCAAAATTGCTAGAATAATCTCAGAATTGTGAGATATAGAGTCAGAATTGTGACTAAATCAGAATTGCGAGACTGAAATTCTGAGAAGAAAAGCCTGAATTGCTAGAATAAACTCAGAATTCTGACAAAATCAGAATTGCGAGATATAAACTCAGAATTGCGAGATATAAACTCAGAATTGCGAGATATAAACTCAGAATTGCGAGATATAAACTCAGAATTGCGAGATATAAACTCAGAATTGCGAGATATTAACTCAGAATTGCAAGATATTAACTCAGAATTAAGTCAGAATTGTGAAATACAAAGTTAGAGTTGTGAGATATAAAATCAGAATTGCAAGATATAAAGTCAAAATTGCTAGAATAATCTCAGAATTGTGAGATATAGAGTCAGAATTGTGACTAAATCAGAATTGCGAGACTGAAATTCTGAGAAGAAAAGCCTGAATTGCTAGAATAAACTCAGAATTGTGAGATATAGTCAGAATTCTGACAAAATCTGAGTTTATCTCTCACAATTCAGGCTTTTCTTCTCAGAATTTCAGTCTCGCAATTCTGAGTTTATATCTGACTTTTTTCCTCAGAATTATGAGAAGAAAGGTCACAAGTACATTTTTTGTAATATATATATATATATACACGAGACTCGACGAGATGTCGCCAATGCGCAAAATACACTAAGGCCCTAAATGTCCACAATACTGCAATCATAAAATGAAAATATACCAAATACACCATTTGTGGTTCCTCATATTGCCACACAAGTGGAACCTCTAGGCCCATTTTCAAGAGAAATGGTTCGAAGTAAAAATAGCAGGCTAATGCTGTGCTTTATTAAAGCAGATTGGGTGAGATGATTTTAGGTTTCATGGTCAGGTGCTCAGCTGAGATGTTGTAAATGCAACTTTATAAACAGACAAATGTCGTGCTGACCTTTCAGAGTGCTATTTCTTGGCTAAATGTCAGTTCTTTAACTGAAATATGGTGAGTCAACCGTCCAAAGACCGATGAATGGCATTACAGTGCAGCCTGCGGGAACTTCTTGTTAAATGAAGCTTTCAGCAGAACTTTCTGGTCCAATAAGGACACCTATTTATCAGTCTGTAGAGAGCAGAATATGATACTGACCTGAGGAGGGTCTCTTTTAACTTACAGCAACCAGAGATGAGAGCCTTTACAGTTCAACCTCAATAAATTTGATTAAAATGCAATTCCAAAAATGTTTACAATTTGCTCTATTATGTATTGTAACTACAATGATAAAAAAAATTGTAGAAACAAACCTTACTACTTAAAAAATTTACAATGTAGTCAAAGCAGATGATACTGTGATGTAACAGCATACAGTGTGCCCTTCATTCAGATAAGATTTTATTGCGTTTCATGACTCTGATAGATTTGCATTGTAAAATATAGATGTTTGCTGTGATGATGCTATGTTTGCATGAGCGAACTTACAGGAAATTCATCTTTAAAGTACCAAGTACGACGACGGGTACAACAATAATGTATTAATATAATTAATATATTATTGACGATGTCAATAATACATTAATTGCGCAGTGTGAGATTCATTGGTAACAGAACTTTGTGAGATCGCGATGAACAAAGAGTGACAACTTTTTAGTGGTTATGAGCGCTCTTTCCGAGCTTTCTAGGCAATCAATTTAAAATGTAGAACTTTGTTTTTTGGTCACACACACACACGTTGCAAAGTTTCGGGAATGACATCTGCATATTTATGCGGGACTCGCTCTCGAAGTAGCAGTGTTTGACATGGTGATAACCATAGCAATAGACGGGACAAAATATGTGAAAATGTGC